GAATGAGTTACGAAGTCAAAAGAGGAACGCTTCACGTAGTTTACCTGTAAAGGCTTTGCATCGTCCATAAGGGCGCATAAATTTCTCAAGGTTAACCTTTTGTAATTCTTACTTAATCCCTTCTTTTAAACAACCAACAAAATAAGTCGTACGTACGGGCATGTAATAAAATCCTTGGTTTTACAGCTTCATCTGCCTTATGCATGCCGCTATTCAGATAATTCGATATGCCAAGAGAGGTTATCTTACGAAGAACAATAAGGGATGACTTAGCTGCTATTTTTAGAATTAAATTACTATAAACCAAAATATCCACGATATTAAAGCGATATTGTTGTCATAGCAAAACTTGTACGTAACGGTTTAGACTTTTTTACTGTAGTTTTATGTAAAAAAAGGAAAGATGCTCTTTGCTTTCAAACAAGCACTAGCTACTGATTGTCGAATAATGCCTAAATTTATCACTGTTCAAAAGCTGCATCGAGGTACATTTGTTTAAAGCATTGTAACTTTTGAGGCTGAGAAACAACCTTAAAATACCTATAGATGACCAGCCAAAACCCGAAAATGTGCAACCAAAATGCAAATTTCATCATATTGTTTGTTGGGAGTTTACAACTGGTGCGTTCGCACAGTTTAAATTGTTGAACAAGGCTATATACTTTGGCACATCTGACTTTTCGTTTTATAGGAGAAAATTTCAGAATTTCTAAATTTTGTCTACTAATGTACTTTGTATAAAAAAATGCAACATACAATTTTGGCAAACGAAAATAACACCGTTAAAAGGTATATAATAATAAAAATAATATTTATTCAGGAAGCTCCACTCACCGAAGTGTTTTTCAGGGAGGTCCTGTAATATATATATCTATATTATACATGGTATTCGTAAACTATACGTCTATGCTTATTTAAAAACTATAAAATATTTACAAGTGGATTATATATAATTATACTTCATAGTTAGAAAAAACTCAACTTAATTAGATAAATTGTTCAACTTAATTAGATAAATTGTTTTAGTTTGGATTTAAAGAGAAAAAGATTAGTACATTGTTTCAGTCCAATAGGTAAAGAGTTCCATTCCGATACCGAGTGATAAGTGAATTGCTGTTTTCCCCAATTCGTACGTGGGCGTGGAAGGTAGTAATTGTTATTCTGGCGTGTTTTATGGCTATATATACGAGAGATTATGGTAAGGTTAAAATCAAAGTCGACTAGATGTTAAGACATTTAAAGACGGAGATACAACGGTGGTATTTTCGACGTAGGTAAAGGGGTTTCCACTCTAGAGTTTCAAGGGCTTCGGTAGCGGAGGAATGACGAGGAAGATTAAGGATAAGTCTCGCAGCGTTATGTTGCAGAACTTGAAGGTGGTTCATTAGAGTGGAGTTGTTTTTATCTCCCCACACGATATCACTGTAGTCCAATAGAGGGAGGGCTAGGCTGTTGTAGAGGGTGAGTCTGGCTTGAATAGGGAGTAAGAATTTTATGCGGCGAATGAGACCAAGGCGTTGATTAAACTTCTTGCTGATGTTGTCGATATGTTCTGACCAGGTTAAGTTTTGATGTATTGTAACTCCCAAGTATTTGAAGGAGTCAATTCTATCAAGTGTGGAATCGTTAACCGTGATGGAAACATTGTCAAATTTTGCAACTTTGCGAGAACTTCCGTAAATTACAAGTTTACACTTGGAGGCATTAAGTGTCAGAAGATTGTCGTTAAACCATCTGCATAAGTGTTTTAGATCGGAATTTAATTTCATTTCAAGATCGCAAGCATTGTTTGAAGAAAAATATGTCACAGTGTCGTCAGCGTATAAGGAAACTTCACAATGGTTGATACAATAAGGCAAATCATTAACAAAAATAAGAAATAGTAGTGGACCCAAAACACTACCTTGAGCAACTCCGACAGGAACGTGTTTGAAGGAGGAAACAGTGTTAGCCAGGGCGGTAAGTTGATTTCTATTCCTTAGGTATGACTTGAACCAGTTGACAGAATCATTGGAGAGACCAGATGAGGCAAGCTTTTCAAATAAAAGAGAATGGTCGACAGTGTCAAAGGCTTTAGCCAGGTCAAGAAAAACAGCTCCGGTTACTAAACCTTTGTCCATGTTAGCCAAAATGGTGTCCGTGAAATGTGCTAGCGCAATCTCAGTGGAAAGTTTAAATCTGAAACCAAACTGTCGTGGTGTTAGTACTTTATTGACAATAAGGTAGCGGTAAACTTGAGAGTGAACTGCTTTCTCGAGAACTTTACTGATTGTTGGGAGTATCGTGATTGGTCTGTAATTGCTAGCATTGGATTGGTCTCCAGATTTAAAAAGCGCTGTTACTTTGCCAGACTTCCAGGTTGATGGAAATGTTGAGGAAGTGAGTGAACGATTGAAAAGTTTGGTTAGGATGGGAGTTACAACACTGGAAGAATCTTTAAGTAACCTAGCGCTGATTTTGTCGAGTCCTACAGCTTTGTTGGTTTTAAGATTATTCAGAACACCATACACATAACTTTCTTCAATTGGCTGGAAAACAAATTTATTTTCCCTAAACTGACTAGGTTGCTTGATAGAAATCCATCTATATACAAGACATTTACGCGAGCAGCAGGAAGAAATTTGGTGGATTTTCGGTTTTCAGTACCAAAAAAGGAAGAAAATGCGACAATTATGCTAATAGCTACTATTTTGCGTACTGCATGTCAGCTTCTTTTAACTGAAAACCAGCATTGAAATTTGCACTACACGCTGAAAACAATTTTCTGTAAAAAGTTAACTTAAAATTTTCATTCTTAGTCAACACTATACAATTATTGGACGAGGTTGAGAAAAATATCGTGATTTGTCAGTGGCGAACAAATCGACTATTTGCCGATGCCGAAAACAGAGGCAAATAATTGATCTGCGAGCCATTGAAAAAATGGCGATATTTTGCGATAACCGAGTTCAATAATTGTTTTATTATTTACTTATTAATTTTCGAAATTTTGTGCCGTCGTAACAAAGTTCAAGAAATCTGTATAATAACAATATATGAAAATTTAACGAGCCATGTTTACTTTTGTGTTTATTTGAATTGCTTTTCAAAAATCTTAAATGCGCATGCGTAAATTGATATTTTGCAATTGAAAATTGATTTCAAAAGTGCGCTTTCTCAGATCATTATTTGCACCAGTTATTTGCAACTGACTTATTATTCTTAACCCTTATTTGTAGGGAAATTAGCCAATCAACGTTAAGAAAATGAATAAGTAAATGATAAAAATAATTCATTGGGCAAAATATTTAAATTGTCAGATTTTCTGCAAGAAAGCCGAAATCAGACATATCAACATAATTATATTGCCTTGTTCGGCAATCTTTAAGCTATACGAAAAGTCAGTTGCCTGCTTGTAACAAAAATGTTATCAGAGTACCTTTTTCAGATAGTTGGCTGGGTGTCTATTATGGGTATATGCATGCATGCATGTACTTAAGATGGTTCTACCAAATTTGAGGCTTTTTCTTTGCCACATTTCTAAATTTACACAGCGAGTCTCTATAGGTCAAGTTGATGCACATTAAAAAATTAATTCAAGGTAACATTAGCACATTTTATATTGGTTTTATATATTTTGTACTATTACTTCTGGATTCTACAAGATCAAGTTGGTCATTACACTAATTTTTAGAAAAATCCAGTAATTAAATATCCATGTTTCAATGATATTTGCAAAGGAACCGGCCAACAAAACCGCGTGAGTCATCATTCCCTTTTTACAAGAAAATGCCTCCAAATATAACAGACATAAGTCCATAAATCGAAAACTACTAAATATAGAAATGCAAATATATTGATTTGCACTTCCCTCGTGATCATAAGTTAATCCTCCAAACTTGAAAAGAATTCACATGAAATTTTAAATGTCTCTACAGATGGTATATTAATGGTATTAATAATGGTATTTGAAATTAGATGGTTTTAATATACCCAATTTTTACGAATAAGATATATCTGATGATCTAGATATGTTTTGGACAGGCATGTGGAAACAGGGCCGCATTAACGTTCCGCGGGGCCCGTGGTATAATATCAGCGCGGGGCCGTTATCCCCCCCCCCCACCCAACCGGCCCAACTGCATTTTAAGACACTGAATTCAGTAAGATTAAAAGCATTCTTTTGTATTTCATGCGTTGAAAAGTTTCCTGTGCATTTAAAAAAAGAAACTGAAATTCAACCGAGTTTATGCAATTAACATTATTATTATTTACAGGCGAAAATAGCTCACATGATGGCGTCCATATAAACCTCTGCCGTCTTCCACAAAAGAAGAAGAACTACACATTTTGAAATTTTCTGGCCCTATGCTTTTTTGACGTCGCTTTTTGCAGCCCCTTGTGGAAAGAAGAAAAATATTTTGCGGCCCTGCTTTTGGAGCATCGCGTTTTTTTATTTTTGGATTCTGTTTTGGCCCTTGAACTCTTTGGAGCCTCAATTTTTAAATTATGAGGCCTGACGTTCTCTGGGGACCTTCGACCCTTTGAAGCCCCACGCTGAAACACTGAAACAGAGAAAAAAAAACACAAAAAAAACGTTTGGGACCTCGCTTTTTGGTGCTTTGCTTTTTAAATCTAATTTCGAGCCTTGCGTTTTCTGGGGGATTTTGGCTCTTTGGGGCCACGCACTGGAATACTGTTTGGGCCCTGCGCTGAAACGGAAAAAACAATTCGGAAAAATAGAAGAGAGTAAGCGCAAGGCCCCCAAAAGCGCGAGGCCCGCGGCATATGCCGCTTCTGCCATATGGTTAGTCCGGACTGTGTGAAAATGAAAACAAGATTAACTGATTGAGTTTTCTTCTCTTCATCCTAAAAGAGATTATTTTACAAAGGCACTTTTCAAGTGTTGAGTACTTTTTTCCGTTGCAAATTCACGGAGAGTTTACCAGAAGCTTGAGAGGAACATTTCAGATATTGGTAGGCTATCTCATGTCTGTTACCCTGACAGCGCTCCTTTGTAAAACGAGCATTTCAACCATGGGGGCTAAGTGCACTTCACTCAAAGTTGTATAAATTGAGGCAACCTAGATCAGAGAAAACAGTACAGCTAAGTGCCTGAACGACAGAGAAACAATTCAGAAACTATCAGGTAAGAATACGTGTTAAGTATAAATTATGTTGCTTTATTTTCGTGCTTGGGATATTGGTTATATTCAATAATACGATTGCTGTATTGGCTGTTTATGAGACATGGCTTATATTAATTCTACGATTAGAAGACAGTGAAATGCATATACATGGCTACGAAATTGTTCGTCGTGATAGCGATTCTAACGGTAGATTAGGCGGAGGTGTTTGTTTCTATTCGCAATTGCACTAATTTTTGGTTCGGTTTGGCATCATTTGAACAATTGAAAAATTTGTGCATTTTAGTTTGTATACCTAACTCGAAGGCTTTTCGTATTACCACTTGGTATAGGCTACCAAATTTGCCCGTAATAAAGTTTCATAATTTTGAAACACATTTAGGTATACTTAATTCCGAAAATCTCGAGTATATTATCTAATGTGTGACTTCAAATAATATATGAGCTCTACAGTCTTATAGCATAGTCTTATACCATAGTTACGCATGGATATTCCTGATTTATAGAATCTTTCTCAACTTACAAATGAACCCACTCGAATATATCACAGACTCCTGCTCAACATTGATTGATTACATCTTTACAAATACTACTGATAAAGTTGTTTCCTTTGGTGTCTCTCATGTTAGAACCAGCAATCACAGTTTATTTGTGTTTTTCGTAAGCTTTCTGTTGGTATACTGCAAGGGCACATTCTACAATAAACTACAGAAAGTTTGAAAATCCTATCAAAATCCTATCAAATTTCCCAATGATATATTAGTCTACAGAATTGGAGCCATATGAATGAGTATGAAAATCCTAATGATATGTGGTATGTTTGGGAAACTACATTCAATTTTGTTGTAGATTAGCACCCTCAACTTCGCACAAAGCGTATCAAGCCTTGGATTACATCTCTTTTAAAATATCTAACGAGATATCCAAAAAAATTCGTTCTTACGATCCACAAAATTTGCTTTCTCTTAGGAAAATACGCAATTCTGTTAAGTTAACCTGCATGCATTTTTTCGCGCAAAAGAAATCTATTTCAAAAATTATTTATGTGAAAACAAAAACAACCCTAAAAAGACTTGGAGGAATATTATTAATGAACTTATAAGAATCAGAGAAATGCTCACATTAGTGAAATTAATTTGAATGGTAACTTAATTATTCTGATAAAATTGCTGATGCGTTTAAATATTATTTTTCAAACATTGGTCCTGACCTTGCAGATATAATAACGATATCAGCCGGTTTTATCTTAATTATTTATCTAATCAAAATAATGATTATTATGCCATACTTTCCAACTGAGGGAAATCAATTCTTCAACTGTTTGCACTGTTTTGTTCTCGCTAAGTAGGTCTAAAGCAACGGGTTTAGACAAAATATCTGCCAGGTTACTTCGAGGTGCTCTGGTTTAATTACAGAATGCCTTTGTCTCATTTTTAATCGCTCTATTACCACAGGCATATTCCCAAACGAATGGAAATGCGCAAAAGTGGTTCCAATATACAAACAAGAAAAACGTAATTGCGTTGATATCCATCGTCCTATTTTTATTGTCCCTGTTGTTGCTAAGGTTTTCGAAAGATCTAGAATAATTTTCGATCCGGTGAATACATTTCTATCTCAAAAAAGATTGTTAAGTAATTGTCGGTCAGGATTTCGTGGTTTCCATTCAACTGTCACCGCTCTTCATGAGGTCACTAATGATTGAGCTTAATTATAATATTGACTGAGAAATATAAATGCTGTTATGTTTCTTGACGTCACGGAAGCGTTTGACACAGTAAATCATGAAATATTGTTAGGCAAACTAAATTATATGGACTTATGTAAGGGAATTGCTGGTAATTTGTTAAGATCGAATCTCAATTATGAACGTAATCAAAAACCTTTTGTCAATGGACATTTCTCGGCAAGTCGTTTACTTCGATGTGGAGTTCTTCAAGGAACTATATTAGGCCGGCTCTTATTCTTAATATTCTTAAACTGCATTAATCACCTTCCCAATTGTCTTTCGCATTCCCGTGCACACGCATGCTTGCTGATGACACTAATTTTACGTATGCAAGTTATAACTTTAAATTATGCCAATGTCAGAGAATTGTTGTCAGCAAATAGACTTCTTTATAAACCAGACTAAAACAGAATTTATGCTAATTTGCTCTCGCAAAAGAATTAACACTTTCGCACTACTCATTCGTTAGCAATCAATAACAATGCAATTAAACAAGTGTCTCATACAAAGTAACTTGGCACACATATTGATGAAAACTTATCTTGGAATGTTCCAATTGAATATAGGTGCACTAAAACGCATAGGGCATTATGTTCCTTTCTACACAATGCGACTTATTTGCAATTGCTTAGTCCAACCCCATTTCGACTACTGTTACGTCGTTTAGGATAGCTGCGGTTGTACTTTAGCGGATAAAAGAACTGATTACAATAACTACAAAATTGTGCTGTCAAAGTACTGACGTCGTCTAGCTACCATACAAATGCCGATTCTCTGTTTGGAGAACTTTGTTGGGAAAAGCTTGCATCTCGGCGTAGTTGAAAAAGGCTGCATCTTGCATCACAGCGCATGGTGTATAAATCCTTGAATGGTCTTGCACCAGATTACCCTTAAAAAATGTTTGTTGAAATGGTAAGACACCAGTGGGAAATTAGCTTTGCCTCAACCGCATATCATCTACTTCAAAAATAGTTTTTTCTGCATGTGGACCCCTTTCCTGCCGAGTTACGGATCGGAAGGTCAGTTCTTTATTGATCTAAATTCAAGTTTGCTAAAGCAACCTCATTCAATAACTTTAAATACTTTGCCCATATTATTAATTGCACAGTACTCATGGAAAACAGGTAGCTATGTAAATATGTATATGTATAAATTGTTACATGTAATTTTCCTTTCTTGCTATTCATTTTATCAGAAGGAGTAAATGTAAAATCCTGATGAGTAGATTTTTAAGCGATAATGTTAATTAAATTTGATTTCTATTTTTATCTGGGTCGAAAAGTGTGTTTTCATACGGCCTCCAGAGCGAAATTTCGAGTAAAGCGAAATGCGGGTAAAACATTGTTACTCACAATTGTACGCGTTTACAAGCAGGTGAATCCTCAGGTCATAGCTAAAGGATTCCGTCGGCCCATAGAGTTCACCTTCCGGATTTGTTCCTTTGTTTCTATTTGTTTCATGCGTATATGTCCGTCGTTCTGTATGGATAGATGGATAGATGGATAGATGGTTTATTGAACTTTAGAACTTCACAGCTGAATTACGCTAAGTTTAACAGATATAAGATATTAGGAATATATGCTGTCAACCCTATTTACATTTAAGAATATTAAAAAAACAAATCGATTATCTAAAATATATATTAGAATTGTACATGATAAAACTATCATTAAGTCTGTTCGTTTTACACACAGGAAGTTCAAAATTTCTATAATTCCTTAAAAGATGATCGTCAATATTTAATGGCGGAAGGAAGTCGTATAAGTTATGATGTAAGTTGCTGGCTATTTCGTTAAACAACTTCGTTGTTAATTTTTGTCTTCGATCGTTCAGTGACAAAATGTTCTTGGTCTCCAAGACATCTTTGTAGTTCAATCAGGAAAAATTATGCGAAAAGCACGTTTTTGAAGTTTTTCTAAGTCATCGGATAGGTACTGCGGCAGCGAGTTATGGAATACTTCGCACGCGTACTCGACAACTGGACGAATACAGGTGATATAAAACAGGACCAGATCGTTGGGTGGCAATTTGGCACGCTTTAATTATCTTAGAAAATATAGCCGTGTTGATACCTTTTTACAAGTATTCGAAATATGAGTGTTCCATTTGAGATCATTAGAGATGGTAAGGCCCAATAATTTTGTGGATGTTACAACCTCAACATTTTTACCATTAATATTTATAGGCTCAAAAACTTTGTTAGGCCTAGAAAAGCTTATTTGGAGCTCTTTGCATTTGGTTTCTTTTTAATTGGAGACCATCTGCAATTGACTTTCTGGCAAATTCGTCTACATAATTTTGTATTAAACTTGAGCCATTTCTACTTACGGACTCAGACATAGTTGTATCATCAACATACTTCCACAGACCGTCAACACCAGATACATTTCGATCGTTTATCATTATTACGAAGAGCCAGGGGCCTAACTTCGTGCCTTGAGGGACACCTGCGGGTACATCACTCCACTCTGAGAAGCAGTCATTACTGTATGGCGCGCGATAATTGTTGAACAGTTTGCGCGAATGCATTTTAGCGCCAGAAATTTACTTGGGTGCAAGCATTTTGCAAATATTTTACTTCTCTACGTGATATAGAGTGATTGCCACATGTAGGTGTATAGCAACTGCATTCTCCCTTACCTGTTTGCCGATGGTATTTCGGAATCGACCGCTAAAAATTCTGTATGGAACATTGGTGTTTTTTACACTTCACATATAGGCCTATTAGACAATTCGGCGTTGTTAGCGCAAGTAGCAATATTAAATGAGAAATTATTCGTAAAAATCGTCAAGGCCTTCCGCTTTAAGATATTCATTTTCCTATACTGTAGGTCGTCAGCATGCCGTTTACAAAATTTTCACCAGAAATATGTTATCAGATGAGTAATAGTTTTTGCGGTGGGAGAAAACAATCGTGCAAAATATTCTAGTTTGCAAAATCTATTAAGTTTCTTTTCCGAATCTCATTTTTCTTGTATTAACACGGCCATTTATTTTTTCGCCTAGAAATTAATTGATATTCAACAAGTACTAAAATGAGGACCATCTTCCTAATTGCCTTGGTAACGTCAGCCATTCTCATAATAACTCAGGCCCTTAGTTGTCCGAAATGTGACTCTGGGTTGGTCAAGTGCACCGCAATTCATAAACTGAATTGCAAAGGTGGACTTGTTGCTGGTGTATGTGGTTGTTGTGCTGTGTGCGCCAAAGTCAAGGGGGAGGATTGCGGAGGACCTTTTAACATAACTGGAAAATGTGATTGCGGTTTGAAATGCTTGAAAAACCCAAAGGATATCGTAACCGTGGGAGAATTTAATGCTAAAGGAACGTGTGTACCAAGGTAAGATTGTTGTGCAGTATTCCATGCTTGAATGGTTTTGGCAGATGGAAATGTGGAGCGGAGGATTATATACAATTTTCAGACCTAACCAAGAGAAGCTGTGAAAATTGCAACTAATGGACCCCTGGCAGGAATCGTACCTGCGGTTCTGCGATCCAGTGGAGAACGTTCACCATGATTGGGATACAGAATATTGGGAGTTCTATCGGGCGAGGTGTCCTAAATCGTGATATTTACCCTTACCTTGTACTGGTATCGTCCACTATATATTTTCCTAAATTAGTGTTCAACTCTGCTCAACTGGGATATGTAGCTCACGGTACTGTAGATACTTCACTTGACTCTTATAAGTTTTTGCGCCGTAATAATCGAGCTTAGCTTATTCTACGTAAGTAATGTCCATATCAGGCGGTGGAGGGAGGTGGTAATATCTTGATATGGCCCAAACCCGGGGTTAGGGGCGTGGTGGGGTGGGGTAGGATCAATCCGATACACCATAATAAAGGCCATATGAAGTATGTCTAGCTCAGTTGGTTAATTAAACAACTGCATCGGAATTGTAGGCCCGCAGTTGCCCGAAACAAGGGAGGGGGCGAAGTTATATTGTCCGCGTTTTTACTTTATCTTTGCCAAAATCGAATATTGTTAAACAATTCAAACGCGCTGACCTATAGCTCAAACCTGATTGGACAAGTAAACGAACTATTTAAAATATATTTGTTCAGTCGTTGTACAATTGTTGTTGAATTGTTTAACGATTTCCGCTGTTTGCCCAGATGAACTAAGACGGGGATAATTTAGTTATACATATTTATCACTTATTAACTGAGACCAAAGGAAACAGTGTGTTTTGTGGACCCGCGACCGGTCGAGCGGCCACAAAACATACTGCTTTCCCGAGGTCTCAGTAAATAAGTGTTTTGTTTTGTAGTATATAAGTGTCAAAGGATGAATAATTCACCGTTTACTGAAGTGAACTTATTTTAAACCAAAACTGAATAAATGGAACATTGTATAAATCTTTAATAAAAAGTTTAAAACATGAACTTTGGAACTTCGTGGTTGACACGCATGCGTATTGTACCCATTTTATTATTGGCCGGTCGATAAATGTTTCATTGTGGACCGGTTGCTTCCTTGACAAAGCACACAGTGAACATGGCGTTTTGTAGACCGGCACGTGATACGGTTTTGACCAATCGGCAAACAGAAAAATTGAACTTTGACACTAACTACATAACAAGTATTCTTCATGACTATACAAATTTTACTCGAATGAAATACATTAAAAGCCAAAAATGGACAATAGTTTACGGTTAAGTATACGAATTAAAGGGATTTCGCGCGCCATTCTTTCCTTCCTTCCCATTTTAAAGGAAGGTTAGGGTTGGTGCATACAAAGGCTGGATGCGGACTACACGCAGAGCGTGGGCTGTATGTTCTTTAAATAGTATGCACAACCTGACTGTTGTTTGCCATAATAACGAAATATATTCACTGCCTTGCCCCCAAGCGCTATAAAAGGTTTACATGAAGTACTGCGTCACAATGTAGGCGCGAACGGAATGGGATATGAGCGTTCTGGTTAGCGCCTTGCCGATCTTGTATAATAGCTGTCGAACATAAAGGAAATAAACAGCAGATGTAAATATAAATGCCTTCATGTATATCACCAGAAAGAAATAAAGCTATCCTTATACCTGAATTATTCCAAATATTGTCGATCGTTTGCATCGTGAAAATCAAACATACTGCGTGCAAATAAGCTCGTAATTGAAATCCTCAGACGAAGAAAGGACACAAATCCCCTAGCCGCTCCTCAATTTTCGCTGCCTCAAGCCCATAAACCCCTGCGCTTATTCGTCGCAATGCACTACTTCATGCAAACCTTTCATAGAGTGACTCACAAAAAAAATTTTATTAGCGCCTGGGGACGATCGAGGCAGGTATATTCAGTAATTGCTTTATTTCTTCTTTAACGATCATTGGAATTTCTTTTCCTTTAGCAAAAAATGAACTAACAAGTTGGCTGAATAAAGAAACTGATAATTATATACTTGTAGCAATAAATTCATTACATTATAATTAATTTATAGTTATAACAGATATCAGTAAACAATACAAATAAATCGAAATGAACTATCCATGGATTTGAAGAATTGATCACAGTGTACTTTGTTATATTTTACTTGCAATTCGTATATGTAATTAAAAACCCTCACTACAGTAACGGATATTGTCAGGGGAGGGGACACCGCCCAAATATACCTTAAGTTAAAAGCACAGTTCAGCCTTTTGAACGATGGTTTTTAAGGCGCATTTCAGCCCTTTAATTGAAAAAACTAACTAGGAAAATCAATTGAGCATAATTCAAGATCAGCAAACTTAATGTTTTTATCACTTTAAAACATTTTTCCCCGAGCCGGCGGCGCGAAGCGCCGTGCGAGGGTACTAATTCCCCCCGACTATTTACACCCGTGGAACGAAAGCAGTAGCCAAGTCTAAAGTTCATCAAATATCGCGGGCGTGACCAACGAACTTGAGTGGGTGGTCATCCTCACTGATCTAAAAAATATGGCGGACTGTCATGGATAGCGAACACTGATTGGTCAAATTTAAAATTTGTTGTTGTATGACAAATGACGACTTCAACTGACAGATACTTCATGAAAATAATTTGCTTTTTACACTACAGTATTTTGTACGTTTGCAAAAAACTTTGACAGCTTTCAAAGCAATTTGTTCTATAAAAAGTTTAATAAAACAATTACGGTATCAAATACCAATTGAAAAGATATGGAACCAAATGAAGAGCGGCAAGGAAACGACAAGAAAGTCGAACGTCTAGCAAAAAGGAGGGAGCGAAGACGACAACGTTTGCTCGAGGAGACTGCTGAGGAAAGAGAAGCTCGCCTGGGAAAGCGTAGAGAAGCATGGAAAAAAAAGACTGCTGAAGCGAAAGGTAAGCAAATGCTTGTCTTCACAACGCTATGTACCAATGATACTGTAGCTATACAAGTTGAAGTATGATATTCGACCCTCTATATTCGACTAGTTCTTCACAATTTTTCAATAAAGAGTTTGTCATGACACGCTCAAGTCAGTATAACCAGACTGTATTTTATTTATATCAGTTATCACAGCCACAGGCAATTTTATGCTGTCAAATACCGTCGGTGGCAACTAAGGGTGAACAGTTGCAGATAAAACATTCTCTATTCTCATTAAAAAGCCTGTAAAAGTTTCCAGTAGGTCTCTAGCCCAACACGTTCAGACAAAGTTTTGTTACTTATTATTGTACACATGGGAAACAACAATTAAGTGTTGTTGTTCTTGACAAACATTGAAGATTCTAATCACGCGAATGTTTTTATGAGCGACTGTTCATCGTTAGTTGCAAACGACGGTACAACATACTATGAACATTTTTCCGACTGTGACTGAATGTGTAACGATATATTTTTCAAAGTTGTTAACAATTCCTAAAATTTGTTTATAGTAAAACAGCCTGCTCAGCACTCACTACTCACGATGATTTCATTTAGAAATGCAGTTACCAGGAAAGGAACTGATTCTAAAATATGTAAATTTAAAAGCATTGGCTATTACGATATGAAGACAAGGTACAAACTTTTATAGTTGCTATTTGTTATAAAATCCTATAAATAAACCGATTCAACAATAATTTTACCTCGAATTTGCATATTCTATGCTGCATGTTTATATTTTATTTTTATAGTATAAAAATAAAATTATAATACTATGAAATCAGTGGCGTAGCTAGCGAAATTTGACTAGTCCTGCTCTAAGACCCATACATTGTAGGGGGGTCCGAGGGCATGCTCCCCCGGGAAATTTTGAATTTTAGAAGTTTGGAATGGCCATTTCCTCCGATTTCACGGCGAAATACTCCAAAGGGAACATAAAAAAATTGCGTGATTAGCGGAAAATTTTTGATAATTTTTTTAGAAAAAAAATTTATAACTTTTTGAAATCCATGCATTTTTTATCATATTTCACTATATATGTTTCAACTTAACTGAAAATGTAGCTAAATATAGTCAAGTCACGAAAGAGGAAAATATCATGTATACAATACGCGTCTGTAATACGATCTTTCACTTGATCAACACAAAACAATCCGACCTCACATAATCAACAATTGCATAACAATTATACTGTTGAACACGGCGTTTTATACACTATACGCTACGGCTAGCATTCGTTAAAAATTCACTACGTTTGTTAGTAATGTGACAGATCACTACGCCTGGCACTCTGAATGTAATTCAGTACCCTATGCATATGGTATTAATAATATAGCGTTTAATATAGTCTATGCGGCCAAATATATACATAAACAGTGTGAATTGGTACAGTATATCATTTTTAAAATTAAACTCCATATAAGTGCTCGTTTCAAATGCACAAAGCAGATGAACTGGCAGTAAATATTACGTTCTTTCTTTATGATATCAATACGACAGGCTTCACAAATGAAGTTTGTATTCCCCATTTAATATATTGTATTTATAAAATACACAATCATCAGTCGAGTCTGTTCACATGCATTTCGTGAGCTAAAATATCTTAGCAGAAGCCAGAAATTATATCAAAATCACATTGGGCTTCCACACTCGTTGATTTCCATATTCATAACTTGAGTAATCTTGACAGAATTAGTGAAAAGTGGGTTTAGTCGCGCGGAAAGCTCGCAAGTAAAGATAATACAAGGCCAAGTCCTGCCATTTCGAGAGAGCAGGACTTCGCATTTGTCAACAGTCGGTTTGAGCATGCGCAGACCTAATTATCCAATCAGAAACCAAGATTTCTTGTATGAATTTATTATGAAATATACTAGCAAGTCCTGCCATTTGAAAATGGCAGGACTAAAATACGAGTCGCGTGTATAAAATCAATGTTAGAGTTGCAGTTGCTAGGTAACAGACACGGCAAGCTGTAAAATTGCGTAAATATAACAGAATGCAAAATACTTTTTAAAAAATAATAACGAAAAAGACGAGAAAATGAGACAAAATAACAATATGATAATGATAATTTTTTAAAGCTTCAAGATAAATAAAGCAATGCTTTAGTACGGAAATTTGGGGAAATTTTTAGTCCTGCTTGGCAGGACAAGCAGGACCGCTAGATAAACCACTGTATGAAATAAAATACATTTCTGTTTGTTGACCAGTACTTATTTAATGTCTTCTTCATCCAGTGGTCAGAGTAAATTTCTACTTCTAGCAAGTAAATATTTGACAAGCAGTCTGGAATAAGCACAGGACTTTTAATGCATCAGCCAAATCCAAGTGTGCCCATCCCCCTCGCCCAGCCATTTTCCTGTAAAGCACATCCCGGGCGTTGGGCATTTCCACTCGAACCTTAGCCCCGGCGGGGCATTTGAAATTAATAATTTGGATTCTTGCACTTCACTTGTGGAATTAATATTAGAATGTTAGTAGGGTTTGTCATCCAAGTGAGAATATATACATGTATATATTTTGTAATGCAAGTGAGAATATTTTGTAATCCAAGTGAGAATATACAAATGTATAATATAGTACATGTATATATTTTGTGTATATATTTTGTAATCCAAATGAGAATAGTTTGTAATCCAAGTGAGAATATGCAAATGTATATTTTGTCAATTGTCACAAACCCTAACATTCTAATTTTAATTCCACCAAGTGAAGTGCAAGAATCCAAATTATTGAAGTCCACCTTATCACAACCCGCACACCCGATTACGTAAATATACATGAACTTACGGTTAAAGCTCGACAGCTGGCCTCTGTAGCTCAGTTGGTTAGAGCGCTGCACCGGAATCGCAGGGCCGTAGGTTCAATTCCTACCAAAGAACCTTGTGCTGCATTTTTTGCAGTCGTTCCTGGTTAGGTCTTAAAATGTATATATTCTCACTTGGATTACAAACCCTAACATTCTAATATTAAGTCCACCAAGTGAATTAGTGCAAGAATCCAAATTATTGAAGTCCACCTTATCATAACCCGCACACCCGATTACCTAAATATACATGAACTTACGGTTAAAGCTCGACAGCTGGCCTCTGTAGCTCAGTTGGTTAGAGCGCTGCACCGGAATCGCAGGGCCGTAGGTTCAATTCCTACCAGAGGACCTTGTGCTGCATTTTTCGCAGTCGTTCCTGGTTAGGTCTTAAAATGTATATATTCTCACTTGGATTACAAACCCTAACATTCTAATATTAATTCCAACAAGTGAAGTGCAAGAATCCAAATTATTGAAGTCCACCTTATCACAACCCGCACACCCGATTACCTAAATATACATGAACTTACGGTTAAAGCTCAACAGCTGGCCTCTGTAGCTCAGTTGGTTAGAGCGCTGCACCGGAATCGCAGGGCCGTAGGTTCAATTCCTACCAGAGGACCTTGTGCTGCATTTTTCGCAGTCGTTCCTGGTTAGGTCTTAAAATGTATATATTCTCACTTGGATTACAAACCCTAACATTCTAACATTTGAAATTAAGGATTTGGAGGTTTTGCGATCACTGATAACTTGATAATAATGTAAAACAAAGCACTTCTATCTGCAACTTTTACAATCACTGATAACTTGATAATAATTTAAACCAGTCAAGTTGTTGTTTAAATAGAGAATAATACATGGGTGCACGAAATACCAGATTTATTTCGAGTGTTGAACATGAGTGTGCAGCGAACAAGTGAGCGCAGCGAACGAGTGAGATATCATGTTCAACACGAAAAATAAATCTGGTATTTCCAACCACCCATGTATTTTTCTGTTTATTATATAAAGGACAGTCTTAAATTAAAAGCGATGATTTTTACAGAAAAGCGATAATTGAAAAGGCAATAATTTTCACATGTGAGATTATCATGAATAATTTCACATGTGAGATTATCATTTTATCAGTGCTCGAAATCTCTGTAAAACACTATACTTTATATAATAAAAATTAAAAAATTTGAACCATGCTGGAGCATGACAACAGCAAAATGCTCTATAGTATGATGCACAATATTTTGGGAGGTGAAATACACGTACAATAAATCAGAGAGTGTTTGCTTGGAACTCACTGGGGTGGGGGGGTGGGTGCAACACCCCTGATCATTGCTCATGG